GGTTGGGTGTTGGACGGGCTGAGCACTCCACAAATATCCAATTGTGCTGAAATTTGGATATGTTGTAGTAGACACCCATTGGAACAAGTTTCATGAAGATCTTCACCTCATTCGAGCCCCATAGCATGCTGATCCAAGGCCAAGAAGTTGACCTACGAAATTGGGCTGGAAAGGGGTTGTAGCCAAAATGTGTTTGTCTTTAAGCTCATATTCCTCATATGCCAATCAGCCCTTAACATGCATGGATTGCATCAAATGTTATCTCTTGCTATCTTAACCTACAAAACACACAAACATAGGTAAGTGACTCAAAATAAAGAGAAACTAAGCAAAATCACTAAGTAAAGAAGGCATGCAAGTGTATGAAATTATGGACTTATCAAAACAGAAAATGGATTAAAAGCACAAGTTTAACTCAATAACATAACCAAATCATAAGCTAGAAGGGTACAAAATGATATACAATTATGAACCGATCATGTATCTCAACATGATCAAAGTATCGAGTGATTCAACCCAAACTTCTCTCTTGTCTATTTTTCTACACTCTCTTGATATCTTACCCTGCACATATAAATACTATAAATCAAAACATTCAGATACTATTACTATTATAAGGGAAAGAAAGAGCAATACATGTCATCACAGGCATACAACAAAGAGAGAATAGTGATCTTCTATTTGATTATATACCGTTATATTGTCTCCTTGGTCAAAAATGAGATCTGCTCTGGCAGGCTCCTCAGTTAACGCACAAGGCCTCACAATTGTACATGGTATTCCACTTTCCCGTATTAAATCCTCCCCCAGCTCCAAAACTTATCAATGTACAAAATCAAAAGAGCTAAATCCGACCCAGAAAAAGAAAAAGAACAGAAAAGAGCTAAGAAGTGGTATTTTGATACACTGTTTATGTATAAAAATATCAAACAGCTTGCACTGAATTAGTATGAAACCTTCAACTTGAATGTCAGGATAAAATCCAATTCCTTGTTTAAGCGAACAGCAAGAGGTTGTTTACTTAGATCAAGTCCAGGCCTATCAGGTCGGGTAACTCCTGCAGAACCTACGTGTACTAACCTACACGGAACACAAGCAAAGAGATTCTTTAAACACTAAAACAGAAAGTGCACCTAGCAGATTAATTATGTTTAGTCATAAGAAGATAATCCAACAAAATGAAAAGAATGTGAAACCTGGGAGTAATAGGCTCTTTTAGATATGCTCGTATGCTTGATAATGGGAGCTTAAATTCCCCTTCCACAAAAGTAGGATTCACTTTCCCATCAAATTCAAAGTTGCTAAACATGAGCTGCCATAATTTTGAATCCCATCAATAAACATAGAAGAAAATGAAGTGAAAGAATAGACTAAAAGAAAGTGGCTGCAGAAATGTGCCTGCAATGACACAATATTGCTGGGGTCAAAAGGTTGTGCATCTGATACAGTACTTGCTCGAAATATCGGCTTCAAAGAAGAATCGCCAGGCAGTAGGCTTAAAGAACAAAAGAAAAGAACCAGACCCACCCTGGCACCCAGCTAGACCTGCCTAGACCAGCCTAGACCTGCCTAGACCAGCCTAGACCAGCCTAGCGCCTCCTAGACCCGCCTAGCGCAGCCCAGACCCTCCTAGCGCCACCCAGACCCTTCAAGCTGTAAATTGAAAACCTTTACAGCAACATGTATCCCACCTGAAATTGTACCTTTATATACAACTTAGCCAAAACCACCAGTGCCGAGTAAGTTGCTTTCATCAAATCCATTCGTCGCCCTCAGAAGTTCAAGGCGTGAAACTCTTCTCCAAAGAAGTCGAGGTAATAAGGCAGTGTCTGTTGCAACTTCTACTTTCCTTTTCCTGCACAATATGAACATTGATGCAGAGGCCACCAGGAGTATTGCTGATATGATCCCTGGAATAATATATTTCAAGTTGGATGTTCTAGCTTTCCTTGAATTTGGTTGAAGTGTATTATTTTGGCATGGTGGAACTTGGAGTCGGGCTTCACCACAGTGCGCACCATTCGATACCTTTTAAAGATGATATATTTTACATAGTATAGCCGCACGGCTATACTACGGTATTTTTTTTATAAAAATAGTATAGCCGCACGGCTATACCGTTTTTGACACGTAAGCACCAAACAGCTAGGCTGGTTTCATAATGGATGACAAACAATCCTCCTGCTCACAAAATCACCATCTTCCTCTATCCTATTGACACGCGGATCTTTTTTTATATATGCGGCTATACCCCGGTTTTTAAAAAAAGGTATAGCCGCGCGGCTCTACTTGTCGTTGTTATCTGCAATTTTTAAGTGGTTTCAATTTTTGTTTTATTGATATGACGAACAACTCTATCCAAGTGTCTATATCACACAACGTTTACTGGAAGGAGTTATTGATGCTTGTGTATGTCTAGGTGGCTTTTCTTATTATTCAGTTTGTTAAGGTAAGTTATTTTACTCTATAGTTCTGTACAACTAAAGAAGCTTTTCTAGGAACTCATCTATTCGCATAACGGACCTTAAAATGCTCTCCAAAAGATATGATCATCACTAGCCATGCAATCAAGTTCCGTCTTTCTAATACCTCTGCATTTGCTTCCAAAGCACCATGATTTTAACTTTTGTTACTGAATTATTGGGTCCTGAACTCCTTGCAGGTAAGGTTAACAACCAGAGTAGTAAGATTTCTTTCACGGACACTATAGAAACACTTAACTATATACACTCAAGCATACATATAAAGAATGATGTCCAGTTGAACATAAATATTATCATTTCGTAGGTACCAATTTCAGTCTCCGTTACGCTCTTTGAAGCCAAATTCTTATGCAAAGGCACCAGGGTGATTGCATCCAAAAGGAAAGGAAATCACAGAGTGGAAGTTGCATCAGATTTTTCCTTACTGCAGCTGTGGGATAGTAGCTGGTATGGTGGGTAGCCTACTTGGGCTGGGAGGCGGTTTCATCTTGGGACCCCTTTTTCTTGAATTGGGAATTCCTCCTTAGGTATAGTTCAACGCAAGACAAAATTCACTGTATTCTTTTTGTCAGTCAGAAAATCTTGTCAAGAAATCCTTGGCAAGGAAAAATCACTGAAGAGGTTTGGATTCAAAATTCCTTGATCATTGGTTTTGATCCCAAGTCTTCCACTGCCATTTCCAAGTGTTAGTTCTTTCTTATTAATCTTTTCTTTTAACTTGTTAGTTTAATCTTAATGTATTCACTTTAGACAGAATTAAAGAACTATATGCCATCCTATTGGTCATGCAGGTAAGATAATGGGTGCTTCAGTTTCAACTGTATACTTCAATTTGAGACTTAGGCACCCAACACTGGACATGCCCCTTATAGATTATGATCTGGCATTTCTCTTTCAGCCAATGCTAATGCTGGGCATCAGCATAGGAGTTGCCTTCAACATCATGTTCGCCGACTGGATGGTCACAGTTCTACTTATTATTCTCTTCTTAGGTAATAACATTTTGACCACAATTTCCTAACTAGTTTTCTACTTTGAGAACTGAACTGATAAAATGGAATATGAACACAACTAAAAGAAAAGCACATCAAATCTTTATATTTATTGCGCTTAATCGTTCTCTAGAAACTTCAAAACTTGGCATAAAATGCTTTCAATACCAAACATTTGAACTATTTTGTTATAATTTCAAAGCTTCTACTGGATTGTTTATTAACTTTCTTTGTTCCTTCTGAAAGTCACTATTTCTTGAGTTATTTGGAAAAATGTAGGAAAATTTTATAGAATAACCAACCATTATCCAACTAAAAAAAATTCTATGTAGTGTCTACAGAATATACACTCCCAATAATCTTATTAGATATTCTTCTGAGTTCTGGCTGGTATAGCAACAAAAGCTTTAATGAAAGGCATATAAACATGGAAGAAAGAGACAATGATGAAGAAGGTAAGATTTTCACACAACTATCCGGATCTCCTGGGCTATCAATGAGTAGGGTCTGTTGCCAACGTACTAACTGTTGAGAGTTAAGCTGCATACTAGCCTCGAATCAAGCTGCAGATGTTAATCCTGCAGATTGACAGTGAAGAGGATGAAGAAATTCAAGGAGCTGAAGAACTTTCCTTTTATAGCAATAGCCGTTATAGGTTATGTCCAACAGCTAGTTTTCTTACTATTTTGGGAAACTCTACAGCTGTCATTCTTAGCTGTCTTAGTCCTATCTGCTGTAACGATTCCTAGGCTAGGTGTAAGAATCGTAGCCTCCAATGACCTTGAATGGCTGGAGATGAATCCTTGTGTCCTAGATTTTTAGGATCTGTTTTTGACAGAATGAGTCATGCATATAGTCAATGTTTTTGGCTCTGATGCAATACAAGAAAATATTTTTGTCCTAGACTTTTATTCTCTCTGAGTTTTTCATTTCTCCTCTGCATACGTTTTGTGAAAGGTTTTGTTTTGCTTTCTGAAAATCAATCACTGTAACCAGAAAGTTATAGGCCAAATTCTAACACTAACAAGGAATTTGAGGTTTCACATGACTTTCAGGAAGAAGAAATGCAGTTGGAATTGGGTCCAAACGTGGCGGTGAGTGTATATATAGACCAAGTTTAGAGATTATGCACTAATATGAACTAAAAGAAAACTCTAAAGCACTTGGACCCGATGGAGTGTATACCAACTCATATTACCAATAACAAAATGCTGCTCTTTAGTCATAATGAATTACTAATTTGCAGCTCAAAGGGGTTTCGAATTTGAAATCAATGAATGGCTCAAGGCTCAAAGTCGAAACCCTTTCGAGCCAATTTGGTTTGTTTTGTAAATATGCAAAACTTGGAAACGCCGCTTGCGTTGGAACCTCATTTGATTTTCTATTGCCTCTACTTTCATTACATAATTGGTTTTCCAACTTAATTATATGCAGAGGGACTTCGTTCTCTGTCACTTAAAGAAAAATGTGAAAAAATCAGATGAGAATACTGATGTTGCAACAACCTGTGATGAAGGTGAACCTAGTACTCACAATGCATCTGATTTTGAAAATCAACCAGTACATGGCATGGAGAGTCTAGAGGTGAGAGTCGTGAGACTTTAATTTCCTGATATGAGCTTCTTCATGTATATATGGTGCAAAAGAAACATGTCCAATAAATCAACACTTGCTACCAAGTGCTTGTAGCTCAAGTGAATATGAGCGGTCACCCTGCATACATAAAAATATATATAAAAAATAACCAACACTTATTTTATAGTTCCAAATGTAGGAAGATACTCGGCCACGAGAAAATCTGGACTATTTTGAGCGTACAAGGGATCTTTGGCTTGCAAATTTCCGTAGTAATAATGATCACAATGCATTTCAATCTGACTTTGAAGCAAATGACCCCGAGGCTGAAGAGTTCGCCAGATCGCTTCTTATTGATCCACAATGTGACACAGATACAGAACCAATCCATGTAAGGGTAAAAAAATGTTCTGGAGTAGCTATTGGAAAACACTCCAAGAGCTACTGAACCACACTACGTTTATCTGTAGGAAAATATCACAAGGAACCGCTGTAGTAATGTGAATAATGTGCCTGTCATTCACATTATTACAGTCCTTTCTAATGATATTCTCCTATAGATATTAAAATCAAAATTTTGTGCTGTTGATAGTTTGCACAGGTCAAACACTCGAAACTTTGCTTCAGGGGGTTTATGGGTGAACTTTTCCAAGTATGAGCATGCATATGAATGTCTGTAGACTCTGTACTTCAAGAGTATGCAAGTTACGTAGTTTCCATCGTTTCGATTCAACTCATTGATAAATTTAGAGTTAACTTGTCTATATGTTGCCTATGTTCATAGTTTGACATTCTGTGGGAGGCATTGTCTGGGCAAGAGCACCTCCGCTTGTTCACTAGTATTAAAGGCCAACCCCTAGCTTCAATCAAATCGGTATGTGCTATGCTAATTATTCAAGGAGTAATTCTTCCAAAATGAGAGCTGAGAGTTACAGTGGAGGAATGTGTCAAACAAAGTAGGGCAAATATTCAAATATGCTCCTATATGCTCATATTTTTATTCTTCTCCAATATGGAGGTATTTATATAAGTACAATCCTAAATAAAATAGGAAATAAATCTAAATTACAATAGAAAATATATCTAAATTACAATAGGAAATAAATCTTAATTATAATTGGACTAGACAAATAGGTAAGTAACTAAAATCCTAACATAGTAAGGAACCAAAATCCTAACTAAGTAAGGACTCGCCAACGCTCCCCCTCAAGTTGGGCAAAGATATTTCGCATGCCCAACTTGACAAGCGAGTCATAGAACACCATACTTGAGAAGCACCAATTGTAGAGAAGGTCTTTTCGTCAACCATAAGCAAAGTTCGCAGCGGAAACACAAGAGCAAACCCTAAAAAATAGGGCACATAGCAGAACACAGAAACCCTGTGAATACGGCAGCAGATAAGGCAGAACACAAAAGCCCTGTGAGCACGACAATAGATAAGGCAGAACACAGAAGCCCTGTGAGCACGGTAGAAGATAAGGCAGATAGCAGAACACAGAAACCCTGTGAGCACGGCAACAGATAAGGCAGAACACAGAAGCCCTGTGAGTACGGCAGAAGATAAGACAGAACACAGAAGCCCTGTGAGCACGACAGAAGATAAGGCAGAAACCAAACCCTAAAAAATAGGGTAAGGAAGGCAAACACACCAGCAAAGGCATGAGCGACAATACTGGCACCATAATAAGCAGGAGCAACAAGGCAGAGACATAA